CTGTGTGGGAAGATCTTGATCCATGCATGGAGCTGTCTAGGATTAATCTGAATTATTTTTACTCCCCCAGTTTCTCAGTGGAAACAGATGTAAAAGCAAAATGTGTAATCCTTACTGTACCTTCTGTAATCCTTCCAAGTGATAAGGCTAGTTCTTTGCCTCCTTTTATGGTGGTATTATCATGGTAGAGAAGCAAAGCAGAGAGGGAGAAGTTCTGAAAAAATAGAGTGGAAGAAGCTGCAGAGCTTGGGATAAAACCTGTTTTTTGGTTCATGAGAATCGTGTGACTGGATCTTGAGCAATCGTAATTGGGTCCAGTTCATAGCACTGTATGCTTGGAAACCCTATGGTTATGAGTGCTAATTCTCTCTGTGTCCAGGTGCTGAAGACCCGAATGGAAGCTGATGAAGTGACTGCTAAACTTGAACTCTGTGACAAAGAAAACAAGACACTAAAGGATGAAATGAATAGAGAGATTGAGATGGTAATTAGTCCTCTAATGGATAGTTTGGGATGTTAAATTGATACATGGCACTCCCTTCAGGGCTCCATCCCTCTTTAGGTGTGGTGAAAAATTGGTGTTCTCCAAATAGGTGTGCGTCCCTTTCCTCCCCCTTTTAAAATCAAGGGTGAGTGGATGTACAAATTAGTTGCTCATTATGAAAGATGAATTTAGCTTTCTGAATGTCACTATAGGGGCCTTTGTCATCTAAGGTAGCATTGGCCTGAGGAGTGTATGTTGCCAGAGGGCATGGCCTTACCTGGAGAGGGTGGTGTTCAGAGTAATGGACTCTGCAGTATGTATCCTGAGCATCGGTGTCTATCATAGAAATAATTTCTTCGAAAGTACTTGGTACTTCTAGTACTACTCAGGCCTGTCAGGTTTTCTGAGTCATTCACATGGAGTAAGGAATCCCAAAAACTAAAAGAATGCCTCAATGAATAGAAGGAGGCATTCTCATTATGGTGACACTTCTGTGGGGCTTAGATTCTCATCACTGGCCAGGGATCTGAGGTACTCTTATTACTGAAAAATGGCACTGATGTCTCAGTTTGTTAGCTGGGCTTCTCCAAAAAATGCCTAGTGCGTGCCTGTGTCAGACAACTCTGCGCTTCTATTCCTCTCCCTGCCGTAGGCTCGTAAGCAGTTCCACACCCAGCTTGTTGAACTGGAGAAGCTACCCGAGATCCTGAAGATAACAGAGACGAAGTTGGCAGAATGTCAGATTCAGCTCCAAAGTTATGAGAAAAAGAACATGGATCTGTCTGCCATGATTACAGATCTTCGTCAGCGGGTAAGGGACTGGCAAAAAGGACGACCTTCAAGTCGAGATTCAAGATGAGTCGAGATCCAAGATGAGTTTGTAGTCACAAGAAGGTTCAGACTTTGTCTCTGTTCTTGTCTCTTTTTGAAATCATTAAAATGTGCGCGCTGCAAAATAAAGATGTGTGACATGCCTTTGTCTAGGAAGATAATCTGGCTGGGCATAGTCCTTGCTATATCAGAGCTTTTGAACTACTTGGTGTAGAACTTTTGTTGGGTCTTGAAGAGCAGCATGGGCAGCATTCCTATGTGCCTACAAGTGCTTCTGTTTCCTCCAACATCCTAGCTGCCTTTGTCACTTAGTTGTCCACTCACTAACTCTTTAGTGCCTTTACCTTTTCTTGTCCCCTGCTCCCTTTTCCTACAGGGAATGTGCAGATGGCATAATGGTACAGAGAGCCAGAACTTCTGCAGCCAGGCCAAAGGCGGCTGTGAACTGTCTCTGCAGGTGGCATGCTTTGCTTCAGTAATCCTATGCAACTTTCTCAATATTTAATGTTCTGAGTTCTTAATGGGCTTGGGCTTGCAGATAAGGCTGTTTCTAATCTGCATGCTTCGCTGTGCTTACAGGTGGCTGCTCTGCTAGCAAGCACTTTGTCACCTGGCCAGTCACACGATGTGGAAGAAATCTTTCATGATGTCTAAACATAGCTGGACAAACCAGAAATTGGAGTGAACTTCTTTGCTTCTCCCCATACTGTTTTCTCAATTCCCTTCAGGGCTCCAGAACCATGAATCGAATGTTTATGCCTGTGCATTACCTCATGTGTGAGAGCAGCACCTAATTTTTGTGGCTGCTCTTGGGGGTGTGATGTCCTACACAAGGTCTCTTTTGTCATTTTAGATTGAACTCCAAGGAGACAAAATGGATATGACAAGGGAGAAGTACCAGTCGGCCCAGGAAGAGAACAAGCAGCTGATTCTGAAGGTGGAGGAGCTGGAGAGGTTAGAAAATACATGGCTGATATGCTGGCTCTGCCTGCCTCTTCCCCTTCCCCGGTGACCTCCCATCCCTTTTTCAGGCATTGATAGCAGTTGGCTTGCCTGGTTGTCATTTTATTTGCACAGGACTGTTCCTAGAAGAATGTTTGTAAGAGATAGGAGAATAGCAAAAACTTAAACTTGTTTAAGTATCCAGAAGCTAGGAATGCTAGGTGTACTTGGAAGCTGGGTTACTTCCTTGCCCTTCCCCTCGTCTCATTATTGTTTCTTTTTGAGCTTTTTTAGTATTTTCTTGCTGTAGCAAGTTTGAAAATACTCTGAGTGCATCCTTTTGCTCTGCTGTTTCTTGCTCCCTTTTGCAAAATGGAAATACCAAATGCACACTTGAACATAGGATAAATTAGATTATTTTTATGTAGTCAAACAAGGTTCAGGTTGGCTCTTAATAAGTCTGCATCTTTACTGAACCTTTAGTCCTGCAGTGTGTTATGAAATCTTAAGAGGAAATACTCAGTGGAATCCTCTGTAGGCCACGCTGAAGCCATCTGCAGACATGAGACGTCAGAAAAAGCATCAAAACAAAGGGGCTTGGTCCACACCCGTGTTTCATAAAGGAGGACATTTTTTAAGTTGGTCTGAGACAGCAGTTCGTAATTGCTCACTATAGTTTTTTGCACATCTCTCAAAAGCATCTGTCACTGACAATTAGGAGACAGGAGACCTGAATTAGATGGTGGATTAGGTGAATCAGCCACTACTGTGATCTGCCATAGCAGTTCTTAGCTTTCTGTATCTTAATGTTTCTTAATGTTTCTGATAATCTTTTTATTGATGAAGTTGTGGCAAAGACAGATCCATGAATGTTCTCAGTATGACCCTACGTGCCCTTCTGCCTTGAAATTCTTTGGGGTGAGAAGTAAATGTAGAATTCCCTTTCAAGGTCAGGATCTCAAACCTGTAGAGAAAGATGTAAAATAATTTGGCTTCTGAGCAGCTGGCTACTTGACAGACAGTCATGCTGAAAAAATGTGTTAAAAAATTAATACAGTTCTTTACTTTCTGAACCCAGGAAACTAGAGACAACCAGTGCACAGAATATAGAATTCCTTCAGGTCATAGCAAAAAGAGAGGAGTCTATCCATCAGTCTCAGCTGCGACTGGAGGAGAAAACACGAGAGTGCAACTCCTTGGCACGCCAACTGGAGATGGCTCTTGAAGATGCCAAGAGACAGGTTAGTAACTTCTTGTGTTTTAATCAACTTTTCATGGCTGCTCTCCTATACCAGGCAAGTTCTGCATGCTACCGCTGTTGAAAGCTGTTTCCCCATCAGTCCATCACCAAGTAAAATTTCCTAATTTTACTTCCTGTTGCTTTATTTCCAGTAGAAAGCAAAAATTAAAATGCTGTTGATGACAATGGGAATTAAATGCTTAAGCTAGTGATTTTTTCAGCCATGGTGCTGTGGCACCCTGTGGTGCCTTGAGACCCATTCAGGGTGGTGCAGAGTACACTGTTAGCACTGTTGGGTGTGTAAATGTGATTCACAAGATAAATCCAGAATTTTCACACAGGAATCCATAGTGTCAAAAACATTCTGACCTGTTGTGGTCTTCCTGAGTTCTTTGTAACAGAAGAATTCATCTACTTTTTTATCCGTAGTCAAAAAATGAGTGAAAACTAAGAGCTGGCATTTCTCAAGGGGTGCCTTGAATCTGAGGAGCTTGTGAACCATTGGCCTGAGCAGAAATCTGGGCCCTTGTCTCTAGAAGACAAAAAGAAAAGGGAAAATGCCAGACTTCTGTCACTGCTTCCTGTTACTGACTCTGGCAGATAAGAATTTGTTTGGTTCTCTGGGGCCTCTGAGGAGAAAACCAACTTGTACAGACGTCCTGCTTGCCAAAATGAATGTCATTGCCTTGCTAATACTTGTAGGTAGAACAAACAAGGGAGCGAGCAGCATCAAGAGAGAGGACAGCCCAGTCCAAGATGTTGGATTTGGAGACCCAGCTGAGCAGGACAAAAACTGATTTGAATCAGTTGCGTCGGAGCAAAGATGATGTGAGTTTTTGAAGGGGGAATGATACATTAGCAGCATCTTTTTAATGGCAGGAGTGTGAAATCCTGTAATTTTGCTGAAAAGAAATGCACAGTAATTTCAGTGCTATGAATCTGTGTCTGGGGTGGGGAATTAAACAATTGGCATGCATGGTGATGTACGAAACACAAAGGAGAACACGGTTTCTTCCTCAAGGTGCAGACCATCTAAATTAGGGGTGGGCAAAATGCAGCCTGCAGGCTGGATGTGGCCCACCAGGCCATTCTGTCTGGCCCACGGAGCCCCTAAAAAATTTAGAAAATTAATAATCATCTGCCCCTGGCTGCCTGTCACGCGGCTCTCTATGGCTTGCCAAAACTCAGTATGTGGCCCTCAGCCCGAAATAACTGCCTGTCTCTGGTCTAAATCAAACATACAGGGCCAGATTCTCTTTTTTGCTTATTTACTGGTGATTTGGGACTTGCTACAAACAAGCTGGTGTTAAATGTGTGAGAGGGCCTGGAAATATGTTCTGATTGCCTGCTGTCTTGTGAATTGGTCACAAGTTGGTTACTGAAATTAGAATTGAGTAAATGAACAATGGGGGGTTGGTTTTGGGGGTTTGTTTGTTTGTTTGTAATGCCTTATGGTGTCTGTTGCAAGCTGTTACTTACTTCCCAGAAATCCAGGTGACTGCAAGAACTAAGCTTAAAATGAACACAATGGGAAAAAGTCTCTGTCCTCCATCTCTGTCTTGTGCCTCTTCATGCAGGCAGAGCGCCGGTACGAAAGCCGTCTGCAAGACTTAAAGGATCACCTGGAGCAGTCCGAGAGCACTAACCGCAGTATGCAGAACTATGTCCAGTTCCTCAAATCCTCTTATGCCAACGTCTTTGGGGAAAGTGCCTTACTGAGCTCCCCTATCCGTTCTCGATCCTCTCCATAAGAGTTTCCTCCCTGCCCCTTTGCTGTTGAGAGCTGCAGAAGGAGCCCTATTTCAAAGCCATATCTCTTCTAGAGAAGTTGCTGGGATTTCAGAGTCTTTGTAGGGAGGTGTCGTCGTCGTCGTCATCATCTCATTGCTTGCATGAGATGGAGCTGAAGTGTCATATGCCAGGAAGGTGAGGTAGGGGTATCCATAGTAGTTTTCAAAAGTGGAGATTATTACCTCAGAAGCCATGCCCCAAAACATGAAGCATGAGGAGGGGAACACTTTTTTTTTATTATTACTTAATTTTTTGTAGTCTGTTAAATTTCTATCCAAGTGTTTGCATGTCTTGTATCTATTCTGGCCAGCTTTTCTGCTTGTCATGTTTTGGATACTTTTTAAAGTTTTTACAAGGGCCTCATCTCTTCCTTTCCACTCTATCTTAAATTGTTTTCTTATGTGGAGATCATGTTTGTTTGTTTTCAATTCTCACATCCTGTGCTGATAAAATTGAACAATGAACTGTCAGGAGATAATGCCACCAGTAGAAATGTGAACCCAATAAAGTGATCATTAAGTGCCTGGGATCCATACTTCAAGTGGATTGTCTCCTGGTTGTCTACATGGCTGTGTGTTTGTGTTTTTTATATAAGCAATTTTATACTGGGGAAACAATGAAACTACTTTAAGATGTCTTGCCTTGATTCATGAACTTGGTCTCATCCTGTATCTTAAGCTTGATGTGCATGTTTGTGTGTATTAATGCTTCCACTCTACTTACTCTGATTGCCTGATCCTGCATTCCCATCCCAGAGACTGAGCAAAGCCATTTGAAGTCAGTGGGATGAGTCTTATTAACCTGAATGGGCCCCAGTTTGAACACACTGGGAGTTCTGAGCATGTGTGAAATGCAGGCTTGGGTCCTAAATTTGTTGATTAGAGTCTGAGACATTTGATTTTTTTATCCTCTAAGCCAACTTGCACATTGCTGAAACAAGGTCTGCTCTGGAAAATGCGGAGGAGAAGCAGCTGTTCTGAAAAAAAAGTAAATAATTTTTGTTCCATAATAATTTTAGCCCCAAATGTGTTGCTGTTTTTATATTTTTTGTAATCTATTTATATGAGGTGCAGTCATCAATGGAATATTTGCAGTAAGCATTTTTAAATCAGTATTTGAGAGTTCCATTTTTAATGCATAACTTCAAAATCAAAAAGGTGCTATGATAAAACTATTAAACTTAAGAAAATTGAGCGTGACTTCTGTGCTTCATTTTGTATATTGTCTCCTCTTACTCTTTTTTCCTTTTCATTACACTTCTGATGTTTTGGAGCAGCTGACGTCCTGAACATTACAGATTTTAAATGTTATTCATATTGTAAAGATGATCAGAAGTATGACCCAGCATTTGTCTACTGGCCATCTTTCTTGCTTACTACAGTACTTTCTGAAGCCCTTTTGGGGTGAGTCTTGCCTCCATGAGCCTATTGGAATGTTGTACTGAAGACAGTTGAGACGCTGCTTCTTCCCCCACCCGGGGCTTTTTAAATTTTTTTTTAAAGTAAACTATCACGTTCTCCAAAAACACCTAGAACAGGAGTGGGCAAAATGTGGCCCACGAGCCTGATGCAGCCCACCAGGCCATTCTATCCAGCCCACAGGTCCACTAAAAAATTTAGAAAATTAATATTTATCTGCCCCTGGCTGCCTGTCCTGTGGCCCTGGATGGCTTGCCAAAGCTCAGTAAGCGGCCCTCTGCCTAAAATAATTCCCTACCCCGATCTAGCATCTACCTAGACTACCCTTGTATCAAATACAGTAAAAGTGTGTACAAGATCATAGGAGCTCTACTCTGAGGGCATACTATTGTAAGATCCTGTTTGCTACTCAGCTGAACTTTTTAGTTCATGAACTAATCACAACCATACCTTGAGTTCACCATAGGGCATTCCTTCCCAGCTTGTGTGTTCCTTGCCTAAGAAGCCAACTGCTTCATCTCTTCTGGGCGTGGGATTGTCATGAACTTGTGTGTGTTGCAACAGGACAGAACAGAGGAGTTGCCCACTAGGGCTGTGCTAAACGGCAGTGTTCTGTTTCAGCTTGTGTTTCGACGTCTTGACAGAACAGCATTTCATTTAGTTTGCTTGAAACGGTTTTGACATTTTGCCCGTAGGCTATAATGGGGAAGCTCAAAACAGCCTATAACTTTGTAATTTCTGGTCTGATTTGGATGAAACATGCTGGAATGGCAGACGGGGCTACCAAGTTTCAAGGAGATACGTGCAGGGGTTTCAGGGAAACTGCACCTCAAAGTCTTGAAAGCAAAAAACTCATGTCATGTGTATGTGCATGCACGTGTGTGTGGATGCTAGACCCTGCTGAGGCCACAAAGCCTGCCAGCTTTCAGGGAGATAGGTGCAGGGGTTTAGGGGAAACTGCACCTCAAGCTGTTGACAAGCAAAACTTGTGCCATGGGTGCCACTGTGTGTGTGTGTTAAGGCACAGCAGGGTGAAAACTGCAGGCATACTACCCCCTGCAGATTAGGTGCAGGGGCTTCTGGGTTCTGGGGCCCTGCACCTCTAGCTGCTGACAGGCAAAACTTGTGACATGGTATGTGTGTCACTCACTCAATTGACACCAAGGCAGAAATCAGGGCAGTTCAAACAATCTGCCTCTTATGCAGTTTTTCCATCCTTCCCCCAGCGCACTGGGATTGCAGGAAACAGTGACGGTCACTGGCCAGCTACCCAGTCAATAATGAGAGCTGTCCTTTTCCTTCCCCCCTCCCCTTACTTTAGTTTCTGCTTTCCTGCAGGCAAGCCCAGCTTGAACTTTGAAACTTTAAATGTTTTGAAATTTTTTAAACATTTCGACTTGCCTCATTTTGAGGCTGCTTTGAAGCCCTCCGTCTCATTTCGATTTTACTGTTTTGAGCACGAAATGAATCGAAACAGTGTCGCGATGAAACTGCCTGCAAAATTTTGCCCAGCTCTGCTGTCCTGCATGGAATTACATTAGACAATCCAGAGAAATGACCTCCTGTACTGTAGTGAGTGGGGTAGTTACTGCATTAGCCTGTACTGTTTGAGATGCAAGGAAGTCTTAAAAGGGAGCACAGCTCTGAAGCAATATGAATGCAGTAGAGCCCTTACACTTCTGCTTCTCTCCTTCTGGCTGTTGCTACCTTTGTTTTACAAAGGCAGGAACTGTGGCTCAGACCTCAAAAGAGATGTTTATACGCCCGTGGCCCTGTAATGCGCATCACCAATGGCAGATCTCAGCGCTTGGTGTTTAGGCGCTTCCCCAGGGTCCCACTAGCTCAGGTCGAAGTTACGCTGACAGATGTGGGCCTGAGGGCAGACCTGCATCCTTACACAGACCTGCTTTGCGGAAGGGGGGGGCAGGTGTGCTCATCTTACTAATTCATACCACTTATATTGATGTGCCTCCCTAGCATATTTATAATTCATACAAAACACTGCTCCTGAACCCAGACTAATGGTCTCTTAAGTCCACAGACCCCAGGGCCTGATCCCCTCTATGTAGGCCCAGCTGAAGGAGGGTGTTGGCCTGTCTCCTACCCACCCCTTATTCAGCTCTTGCTGTGATACGGGGGTCAAGCATTTCCAGAGCAGGGGGCTGAGCTGCTCCTTGCTTTGCTTCGTTCTCTTAAAGCGTGTCAAGCCCAGGGGGCTGAGCTGCTGCCCGGTTTAAGTTTGTTTTCTTAAAACCTCGGCCAGCGCAGCTCACCAAACAGCCTGCTCAACAACTCAGCTGAGTGCGACTCGAAGGAGCCTTCGCTTTATATAGGCGCGCGGCCCAGAGCGAGGCTGCGGCAGGCGACGCCCCGCCCCCTGCCGGCCAAAGGCGCAGGTGACAACCCGCCCCCCAGCGGTTAGCCAGAAGGGGGCGGAGGCTGCGTGACCCGGAAGTGGAAGAGCGCGAGGGGTTGCGGTGTTGCTCCGCATGGTGGTTGCTGAAGGTGGGAGTGGGTCTGGCGGAAACAAGATGCCGTCGGAGCGGCAGCGCTGGGAGACCCTGGAGGCGCTGAAGCGCTCCAGCAAAGGGCAGCTGAGCTACTGCCCCGACTGGCCGCGGGGCGAGGTGAGTGCGGGGTGTCCGGCTTGGGGCAGGGACGAGCCGGTTTTGTGGCTGTGACTCGCACGAGGCTGGGGTGGGGGAGAGTCCCCCTCCCGCGTCCCGGCCTGTGCTCCCCGCCTGGCTCAGGGGCTCCTGGCAGAGGCGAGCACCCTGGTGCCAGCGCCGGCCTCACTGTTCATCACGTCCGACTCCCTCTCTCCCTTTCCTCACTGAGCAAAGTAGTTGATAGCTTGCGGGGGAAGGCCACACCAGCGTGATCAGTGCACAGCCCCTCCCCAGTGCTGCTCTGTGAAAGCCCCCCGGGTTTCACGTGAAGATTGCCCCACCAGGCAGAGCTTATGTTGCTTCCGGCTGCCTCTCCAGGCTTGGAGTTGCGGAAAACCTGTGTAAAATGTCAAGGCTTTGCATCTGGGTTCACCTGAAAGCGGTTAAGGATGCAAGGCATTTTTTTTTAACTGCCAGATGTGACTGGTTGTGGAGCTTTGTATCTGATTGTGGGAAGCTTGTTTTCATTGGTGGATGTTGGATGAGAGGAAGATTACCCGGGTCAAAAAGAGAAACCTCCTCAGACTTGGATGTGGGTAGTGGTGATCTTTCCAAAACATTGTTACTGCACGTCTGGTTCCCTATGGCTAGGTGCTCAGTAAGTCCTCTGTCAACATGGGCCAAAACCCTTGTTTGGGGTGCTTGGGATGATTTTGTTCTTAGAGCCAAACTGGATATGATGCAGGTAGACACAACTCCTACCCCACAGGCCTGATGTTTCCTTAAGAGCTTTCTTCTGGCTCTTTCCATAAATGCTCTGAAATCTGTTTGGATTCAGACTAGATTTGGATGCCCCAAATATACCAAATGTTTTTGAAATGGAGGAAATTTTCAGTCTGTTCTGAAAAAAACTTCACTGATCAAAAAGACAAAGATGAAGGATAGGGAAAGAAGTATAACATACACTAAAGGCAATCAGGGTAGTGATAGGTATCTAGTTGATTAGTTAACTGGTGCCCTTATTCCATTGAACTATGCTACATTTATTTCTACCACGCTACTTTTTCTGTTCTGTCATAACAATACTTAAATTCAGTTCTGCTGACTTTATGCCCATCTTTCACAATATTCAAGACTTGCCTCTGTATATACCACCGTGTAAACCTTAGGATAAGTGAAATAAATAGCAAAATGACATAGTCAGCTAGTTTGTTGGTGTTATGGAAGAAGTGGATCCCAGGTTGGGGATATAACTGGAAGTATAAGCGGCTTTGTGGGCCTTCTTAGAAGGTGGTTCTATGCATGAATGGCAACAAGGAAGAAAACATGGATACATTTATAGAATTGGTTGAAAGGAACATGGAATTGGCTTATTAGCTAAGGTAGCAGTATTTGCACAGAGAAACATCATGAATGAGACCTGCATGAGTAGTTCTCCTTTTTTGTTGAACTGTTGAGTTTTGCAGGTTCCTTAGAAATTCTTCCATTAGTATGTAAAATACTCTTTCTTTCTCTCCCACCCAGGATATTTTGGAAGGATGCAAGCCCCCTCTGAAGCTGTCTTCTTATTCTGGCTGGGTTCTGGCTCGAGTGAATGCCCAGTCTATACAGGAAACTCCTGTCTCCAGAAGTTCTACGCCCAATGAATCCACTCCCCTGAAAGACCAGCTGTCTTCTCTTGTAAAAACTGCTTCTCCTGCCAGCCAGTTAGACTCCTCTCCACTTTCATCTCCGGCACTGAGTGAAACAAAGGTAGTTAAAGACATCCTGTGTATGTAAGCTGCTTATGAAAGGAGCATGGCAACCTGTGCCTTAGCGTGTTTGATCACAGATGGCATGATGGTCTTGTAACACTACTCTGTTAGTGTATTGTGGGAGTGCTCAGAGATCAGGGCCTTGTCCATACGTACCCCATCATCACAAGGTCTGGTGTCTGATAGCAGTTGCCACTGCCAAGTCACTGGAGCATAAGTGCATCCAGTGTCTCAGTGTGACCTCCCTCAACATCTGTGCTACCAGAGCTGGAAGTACACCCTGGGATGGCACCAGATGCTATGGGCAGAGGTGGGCAATTATTTTGGCTGGAGAGCCACTTAATGAGTTCTGGTGAGCTGTTGAGAAGCTCACACAAATCTTTCGGAAGAGATTTTAACAAATTATAGATTTAAAAAAAAAAAAGTGCGTACTCAAAATCAAACATTTACTGTAACACACTTTAATTTTATTTCAAAACATATTTTGTCCTGACTTGTTTTTGAGTAGTATATATTGAGATGATTGCAAAAAAGCTCTAAATAAAGTCTTGCTCTTTGTGTGTGTGTGTGTCGCAGTGTGGAGGAATGGGTATGTGGGGAGGTTGCGCTCATGTACGGGGGGTCGTCTGCATGCTAGGTCCCTGGAGCTGGCAGGGGGCGGGGGGGAAACAGGCATCTTCAGCAGAACTCACCCAGGTGGTGCAGTGCAGGGGTGATCTGCCCCCCACCATCCAGTGGCCCTGGCCCCAGCCAGCATGCACACCTTCACTGCACAATGAGCAGCCACCTGCTGTGGCCAAGTGGCTGGAAAGTGGGTGGGCATTGAAGCTGGAGCCTCACGTGTTGGGGCAGGAGTTGCATAGCTGCAGGTTCCCCCTGGCCTGGGTAGGCATGTGGTGCCCAGCACATGTACGCATGGCCACCACTGCTTCCCTGTACTACCTGCTGCCTGGAGTAGCACAGGAGGAGGAGGGGGAGGAGCTGCTGAAGTCCAAAAACAAGGGAAAACTGAGAGCTGGCATTTTAGAACTAATGGGCTGTGCTCTATCATTAAAATACTGGCTTACTTGGGTTACATTTCATGCTTTGCCAGGGTCTTCCTGTGTGATTGTGGCCAGATCACTTACTTCAGTTCCTCATCTGTAAAACGGAGATAAGTGCAGTTTCTTATTTTAGAGGGGTGTTATGGCTTCATAACCAAAGTTTCTCAGTGTTTAAAGTACTCAAGATAGGGACACTGTGGTCTGCCCTGATGCTTTTTGACTTTTATAGTGCATGCTGTGTTGTTTGGAGAAAAATCCTTGATTTACCTGATTTTCTGCATAACTGTCTTCTCTGTCAGTCACTGATTTTGTTCATCTACTGTTCACATAGACTGATGAGAATGTTAATCTGCTGGAGACTAGCTACAAAGCCTGTCCTGTGGTTTTGCCATCTAAAGTTACAGAGATAGAAGGCTGCATACGGATGTATGAGGAGGTTCACAAATTAAGAGGAAAGGTAACAAATGATTTTGGCAGGCTGAGGTACTATGTTACCACAGGTGTGGTGATCTAGTAAAATACTGAGAGATTTTTCCATGGATTTAGGATGATCCTAATTGAAAATATGACTGTAGTACTTTTTGATCTTGTTCATGTTATTTCACCTCCCTTGCCTCGTATATGGATTAGAGTAGTTATCTGTATCATAGCTCCTGTCTCTGTCAAAGGCTCTAACATGGCTGTTTTATGTGGAATTCCCCCCCTCTTACTCCCCAGAGATTTCCCTGCTTGAGAAGTCAGCAGGGTTTTGTTCAAAATGTACAATACATGATTTGCTTGTCCTCTCTCCTTGAAATCTGCAGGAGGGTCTCAGACAGCGGCAGGAGCAGCAAGAGCAGTTGGCAAAGGCAGTCTCTGACATGGCAAATGAACAGCTGAAGCGCTTTGATGAGCTGAAGGAGTTAAAACAGCATCAGGAATACCAGGACCTGCAGGAAGTGATGGAGAAAAGGTGAGGTTGGCCTTTTAGTATGTGATCTAGCAAGGCAGCTAACTTGGGACCGACTAAATCAAGTGTCTGATCTGCAGAAAGGCAAGGTTCTTTGAGTAGATGTGATATCTTTTATTAGACCAACTGAGTAGTTGGAAAAAAGTGTTTAGCAAGCCTTTGGGTGCAGTCACCTTTCTTCAGGCATAGAGAGTCTCTGCTGTTCTGAGACTCCAAGAAATGAAAGAAGCTAAAAGTGTGGCAGGATGTCAGTGAGAATGTAAATAGGTAGAAATTAGAAAGACAAAAGGTAAAGCGGGGAGGGGGAAGAAGAGAACAGGGGGCAAAAAGACTAAAGGGAGACATAACGGTGATAGAATACAAGGTAGAAAAGAGGCTGTCAGTAGAAAAAAAAAATAGTTGGGAGATCAGGAAAACAGGAATGAGAGAAGCTACAAGCATGAGAGGATGTGAAAATATAAATAGGTAAAAAGGAGAAAAGAAAGGTAAAGCAGGTGGGGGGGGTGAAGAAGGCAGGGGGAAAAAAGAGCCAAAGTAGGGGACAGGAGAAAAGGGAGGGGGGGTGGGGGGAGTAAGAGGTCAGGTCAGGCAGATACCTGGTGAATCAGATGTCAGGCAGAAACAGAGTCCTCACTCCTGTAGCCAAGGTTAGGGAGAATTGTGTTTTGAACATATATAAAGTACTAGTCATCTCAAATTAGGCATTCAAAATGAGGAGAAACTTTAAACTTAGTATACATCTTGGATCCCTGTGGGTGAGAGTGGGATAATCTAACACATGAACAGTTGAAGGGTTGTGGGGAAGATAAGTTAATGTTTCTGGTGCACTTAGATGCTGTAGTGATGGAGCACTAGAGAAATGTCTAGGAAGAAATTGATTTTGTTTTCAGGACGGGGTTTGAATAATGTGCAATAAATACAGTATGGTGCCACATATTGAATAACGAGGAAAAAACGAATTATTGGGTATCTGCTCATTCAGTAAGCACAATCCATCCTGTACAATATGAATAACCAGGGTCTTTATGGCAAAACTAGAATGTCATCATGTTGTTTAAAGACTGTCCAGCGTGTCAAAATAATGTTGCCCAGCCAACCTGAATGCCAGCATTTTTTTTAACTTTTGAGTGCTTGACTTTGCAGATACAGTAATTCTCTTTTAACATGTTTTTAAATATGTAATAGCTACATAAGAATGGGCAGCTAGTGTGTTCTGTGGAACAGTAAGATTGAAATACTGGACTTTATGCATTTAATTTTGTATAAAATGGTCTTTTGGGCAAAAATAAACAAAGATGGATTGCAAACTAGATAAGAACTTGTACAGCTATTTTTACCATGTAAAGCAACACCTATAGTGTGCAGCAGTAGTGCAGTGCGGATAGTAAATGCTGTTGTATTGAATATGCACTTTCCCTTCTTGAAGTATGTATCTCTTGGGGCTTGGGCAAGGACTCCAGGCTGATCATCTCCTGAAGAAAACGCCGCATGAATTTTTGGGGGGTTTTTGTTGTTGTTTAAGACATTGGCTGTTCTGCAGCTGCTTGCCTGTTAGGGTTATTCTCATGCTTTTCCAGCTTTGAGTGGGTAGGATAAAGGCGACTGTCCATCTGACTGAAGTCTCCATTAAAGTAGCATGTCCATATGCTGTTTGTACTCCATTCTGATCATGTCTTGGGAGGAGATGTTTCAAAGAACAAAATACTTGCTCACTTTTTTCTACCCCTACCCCCCCCGCCTGTATTTAAGCTCCAAGGAAGCTCAAGGACAGCAGGAGAAGTTGAAAGAGGAGCATCGACACAGAGCAAAGGTTTGAGCCTGGGAAGGGTGCTATTGTTGTGAGAGGAGATGGTTGGCCTGATCACTGAGATTTAGGAATTCACAGAATAACTGTTTCAGTAATGCCTCTTACAGTGGGTGGATGGAGTGAAAATGCATTTTCTAGTATTGCCCCTTTTACCAGCTAAGCTCCCCTGGAAATGCGGATATTCCCATTAAATGTTTATCGTAAACGGCATATGACTGCATTGCAGGAATAGGCCAGCAAAACTACTGCACTGTCCTTATAGGCAAACAATAAACATGTTTCTAAAGCACCTGTTTGCCCATCATTACTGCATTTGGGGGTTGAAAGTCATTTAAATTTGCTTCCCCTCTTTTAGTGCAGTTCTTTTGTTTTCTTCCAGTCTTCAATCTCTTCTGTAGTAGACCTTGTATTTCAATGTAGCCTGAGCTTCTTGGTCATCTCACTTATCTTGATAATTTTGCCTGAAGCTTGGCTTGGGAATGTCTTTACTTTCATTTTCCTGCTGCCCATTTGGTTGCCAGTCAAAGATTCCAGTTGGATTTATCTTGCCCCAACCTACTTAACTTCTAAGCAGTCAGATGTTGTACATTTATGAATAGAAAGGATTTATCCTTCCTTTACACATCGTTAAAATCTCTCTCCAAGTATTTGGATTGAACTCTTCAAACTCCCACTGAGACTTGATGTTGCTAAAAGTACTGAATCTTATGTTGATTGCACTAGAAAGCTGTAATGTCAGTTGTTATTCTAGGCTCTGCAGAATTTCTGCAATGGAGATATAAATCAAATCTGGTGGCTCCAGGAGGGGTTATTAGAAAATTATTTCAAGATTTTTTTTTTTTTCTTAAGTAACCTTCCTCTATATGGAGCCTGCAGGGACTGTGCAGACAGAATTGTGAAATACTGTATTTCTAGACCTTGTCTACCTTTTGATTGTCATTCCCTGCTCTCTTCAGATTTTAAACCTGAAGCTGTGTGAGGCTGAACAGCAGAGGCAACATCAGGAGGAAATGGAGCGACTTCGGAAGGAGGAAGGCCAGGAAAGGTTGCGCCGCCTCTATTCCATCCAGGAAGAGGTGCTCCAGCTTAACCAGCAGATTGACCCCAATTCCAGGCACAAGGACTTGCCAAGGATAGACTTGTCAGCATACAGTAACCGTGGCAACCAGATCTGTGGGCTTGTGTCAGGGCTCATTCGCACCACCAGTGAGGTAATGGGGCTCTAGATTTCCTCTCAACTTTAACTTCCTGTTGCTTGAAAGCAAACCTTTAGAAATTTGATAGGTCAGCTAATCATGAGGTCCAGAGATGCTGTGTAGGTACAGGAAAGATTATTGATGCATGTCGTATGCAGCGATCAGTCTCAAAAGAGAGAGAACCTTTTCCTGCTACTCTTGAGCTGTTCCCTTGAAAACGGCTTATAAAAACTTACGCAGCTTTTAATGGAGAAAGGAGACTTGCTGCTAAAAATGCTATAAAATATTTATGCAACATCTCTCTTTTCTTTAGACAGTTTTGGAGTTGGAGTGAGTGCTCAAAGAATTATGAGCTAAATAATGTGCAGTGTTCAGTAGGGTTCAGCACTCACAAGCTTTCCTACAGCCTTTAGGTTTTTCTCACAAAAGCTGCTTTTCTCCATATGAATTGTAGACTGATGTACAAAACTTGGCTTATGTATAAAACACCAGTTCCACTCTAGAATTTGTTGTGGACACGTTAGGCCTGCCAGTTCTCTGTTTCAATAGGTCTAGAAAGTCTTGTAATTCAGACTTTATCTGGCATTTGAATTAGCCTCTGTCCAGTGGGGTGAGAATAATCTGGATCTTTGAACAATGTGGACTTGCCATCCTAGTGTGGTGGTCTTCTTTAATATTTCCCATTCCTGCTAGTGAGCCTTGCCTGGTCCTGTTACTAGATCCTGTGTTGGTGGCAAGTATACAAGGCTGGTTCGTTCTTAGTGTGCTAAAGAAGCTGGTATTAAGCCTATGGCACTTGAATGGTTTATATTTCTGTAAACCCCTCCCTGTATGTAGAATGTGATGTTTACCTAGCTGGGGTCACTTGAACCCAGTTTTCTCTGCTTCCCAGGGCAGGGGTCAGACTAGAAGATCTACAAGGTCCCTTCTGACCCTACATCTATGAATCTATGGATTTGAAAGTGAAAATCTGCAGTTACTGGTACATTTCACGTCTAGGAGACAGACATTATGCTTTGCCTATTGTGCAGTTGCAGAAAATGACTAATCATCATAAACTTGCTTCTCTTGAGTGAGGCAGACAATTGCTTGTTCTGGAAGACGCATTCTGGGCTTTCCACAGCATTGTGCTGAAAATTGCACCTTGGGCGGAGTGGACATTGTGATTTGTTGTTATACTTGTGTTACCTTAAGTATGGACCACCTCCATTGTGCTTGGCCCTATATGAACTCAAAACAGCAATCACAGTGCTTAAGACTTTACAGCATGCATTGGGTTGGCAGCTTTTCCTCAAGTATCAGGGTGCTGTTGTTCTGGGGGCTATCTGTCATCTACTGGTTTTTGCATATAGGGATTAGCACTGACTTTAACTTGCCTGTTTGTTCTTTCCTGGTAGAGAGGATTCCCTTCTCCTGTAGATGTGGTCAACACTGAGCGAGTACTGCAGGAAATGCGAGGGTTAATTTCTAGCATGCAGCAGGAAATTGCTTCAGCAGTAGAAGAGAAAAAAAGGAGGGATGAAGAAGAGGAGAGAGAGAGGCAGAAAGAGCTACAGAAAAAAGAGCAGCTGAAGGCTCAGGCGCCAGTCCCTGCCCAGCATCCAGGGGGGAAACAGCAGAAAGAAGGTCTGTTCATTCCCACCCCTCCTGTAAAACCTTCTCTACTACAGTGCTCTCCATTGTACTGCTAGGCTAAAAACTCATTCAGAACCATGTAGGTTGAGGGAGCATCATCGATGGGGATCCTGGCTTTCCCTGAAAAAACAGATTCTCTGATGATAAAAAAAAAAATAACGAAAATTGCAGATTCTCTGATACCTGTCCCCCCAAATCTGTGATTAAAATGAAAGGCCCCTTAGTTCCCACAGCCCTGCTGGTGTCCCTTTCCCCTACCCACATCCCCTGTTAGACAGAGCCCCCAGCTGCCAGGGCTACAGGGCCAGGAACTCGGGTCCACAGACCCCTGTCCCTGTCAGGGGGCAGCAGCTGTTGCAGCAGAGCGGAACCCAGCTCCCTGCCTGCTGCGGGCTTTGACTGGGGAGGGGCTGGTTCCCTGCCACTGCACACACTCCCAGGGTGTAGGGGGGACCCATGCCCCATCAGGCTTGGGCTCCTGCCCTTCTGCCCTCCCCCAGGGCCTCTGCAGCCCAGTGGGTGCAACCCAGTACTGCAGGGCAGAGCGAGGCTGCACAGGAAAGCTGCTTGCCACTGTGAGTTCCACACTGCCCTAGTGAGGCGTCCCCTGCACACACAGCGGCAGCGAAGGTGGCAACACAGAGTTGTGCCCCTTGCTGCTGCCATGTGGGCAGGAGACGCGTCGCCAGAGGAGTGCAGAGCTTACAGTGGCAAGCAGCTTTCCTGTGTGGCCCTGCGGTGCTGGGTTGCACCTGCCAGGCTGTGGAGACCCTAGGAGAGGGCAGGTGGGCTGGAGCCCAAGTCCTCAGTGGGCAGCCCACTCCTGACCCACGTACAGATCTGGGGGACATGGGTCCCCCCTGCCTTCTGGGAGTGCATGCAGCAGTGGGGAGCCACCCCCACCCCCTGGACAAGCTGCCCATGGTCCTGTCCCACTCCCCACCAGGGCCTTGCAGCCGTGCATTGCAGCTCTGGGCCCCAAGCACCACCTGGCTGGGCAGCAGCCCAAACCCCAGTCCTACCCAACTCCCTACCTATGGGGGCCTCAATCCCCCACCCCCACTTACCTGTTGGTGACAGTGATGATGCACAAACTTGTTATGTTAAGTGAAGCAGAAGTCGTCAGCCTTGGACAAATATGCAGCATGGTAGGACAAAATGACTATGTTTGATTATGTACCTAGATTGCTAAAGAAAGTAGCCCAAAATTCTTCGCTCCTGCTTTTATACTCGTACAAAAATGCTCCTCGGACTGAAGTCCAGTTTCCAGACATGGGTACTAGTCTGCAAAAGGAGGAATTTATTACAGTTTGCAATGCCTTTAGTCAAGCATCACCATAACTTTTCCAATTGGATTCTGGAGAGGAACAGAGCTGCACAGTTTGGGTCATGTAGGATTTGGGAGGTTCCTTTAGTTCAGACAACATCTTATTTTCATACAGCTTCCTTAGGACTTCAAACTAAAGCTGAGGAGAGCACAATGCAGTGGTATCAAGAGCTTCAGGACACTGCTGACCAGTGTGTTTTTTCCTTTAGTGGAATTGCAGACTGCAAAGACAATCAGGTACGAGTCGTAACTGTTAACATTGATAGGGCAGGGGTTGGCAACTTACATCTTGTGGGCTGGATCTGGCCTGCAGAGGCATTGGATCCAGTCCATGGGCATGGAGCTTCAGTAGGACGGGACTTCAGCTGCAGGTGCTTTCCCCATGCTGCTGAAGCGATGTAGTAGCTGTGGGCAAGCCCTAGCACCCACCTACCTACCCACCCACCTCTTATCTGGGGGGCGTTATTTTGGCTTGCAGCCAGAAAAGATTGTCCACTGCTGTGCTAGGGAATCTTTCTTTCTCTGCTCCCTGCCTATTTGCCTCATGTCTGTTGCTCTGTTGAATGGGGTAGGACAGTTTTCAAAATACTATGAAAAAAAATTGCAGCCTGTGACCAAAATCTCCTCCATAATTTTACCATGATAATGATGAGAAAATAAATGCTTTATTCACCTGTCAAAAATCATTTTCTCTGAGCAGCCAAGTAGAATTTGCAAATATGCTGTAGAGTAGACTTTTAGCCAGGCTGTTTTTTAAGCTAATTTAAACATAAACATGTGAACAACTTGAAGTTGGGGCTGTTTGGCAGGCCTTAAAACAGCTAATGAGACAGAATTTTCAAAATCATTCCACTGAACAACAGTGTATCATGTTTTCTGTATCTCTTCCTAGATTGATGGTGAGAAAATAGGTTATTTGTATGTGAATTTGGGCCTCATTCTACTTGTAATTTCCTTGCCTTGGAAACCATCTTGTTCCCAAATGGATGTTTAATAAGAACTACTGATATAAAGCATGGACAAACCCTACTGGTTCAGTGATGCCTTCATGTTTCAATAGGATTGAAACTTTGAGACAGTATAATGTGAAAGCAGAGGCCACTGTGTGTTCACAGCAATTTACTTTTTACTAATGCTTCTCAGAAAACTATTTTTTTAAAATCCTGCAGCAAAGACTTGAGCTGCATAAGGGCTTGACTTATGTCTGACTTCTAATTAAAAAGGACTGTGGGAGAGCAAATGTTAGATGCAGAAGACTTGATCTGTCCTCTCTACACATTATATATGTATCTTGGGAAATCAGACACTAGATGTTCGGACTTTCCAGATGCACAGTGGTGACCACTGCAGACTGAAAACTGTGATCAGTGCCTTTTCCTTGCATTTTCATGGAAGCTTCGTTTGGCAGTTAAGCTTCTGTTTTATGTGAAGGAGACGCATGTTGCTGTCTCAGAGTGAATTCTGCTCTCGTTGTGGGGATATTCTTCTACATCCAGGTGATCTCTTGTTGTGGGATTCTAGGGTTGATTTTATTCAGTGCTTTGGCCCAAGTCCCTCAAGGAGCAGGATGCCTCTGGCATTTGAATTCTCTTAACTCCTATTATAATCAATAGAAGTCAGTGACAAGTTTCTCCTCACAGAATTGGGTCCCTTGAATAGTATCCTCTGTTATGGTCTGCCTCTTTGGTTTTGATCACGTCTTTTTTTTGAAATGGTTTTGACAGCTTTTCAAATACAGGTGAAAAAGATCAAGATGGATCTCCAGAAGGCAGCCACTATCCCTGTGAGTCAAATTTCCACCATAGCAGGTAAGGAAAATGCTGAGGCTCAGCAGAGATACTGATATCCTATAAAGATATAAGGGCAGTTAGCTTATCTAGAATGGTATCTCTGCTTTGTTCTCATGCTGGAGAACTACTCTGCATGGACTTCAGATCTTTGCCATCTGAATTCATAGTTTGGATGGATTGTTCCCCATTTGTGTGGCAAGTAACTGACTTGAGCACACCTACTAACTGGATTTAGAGGACTTCCAAGGGTCGGAGTTTGGGGATCTTACTTCTTCCCTTCAGAATATGGTGCTAACTTTGTGGTGGCTGATGTGGTCTCATTTGATTTAAGTCTTACTTGCTGGCCACTTTCTAATCTAATACTTCCTTGTGTATTATTGATGTATTTACAGGCTCTCAGTTGAGAGAGATATTTGACAAGATCAATAACCTGCTCTCTGGGAAGTCTGTACAATCTGGAGGGCGAATGGTATCAGTGACTCAGCATCCACAGGGCCTGGATTTTGTTTATTACAAACTGGCAGAGAAATTTGTGGTGAGGCAACTTTTTGTTAATTTGAGGTGTTGAAGGCAGCTAGTGTGTTAAGAGATCCTTTTGTAAGGTGACCTTTTTCTTTGGCTACTTAAAGCTTAACCGTATAGGAACTTATCGCTGATTGGCGGGCAGGAATTTGGGGGAATGGGGGAAATATGCTTTTTAAACCTATGAAAAGAGGAGCCCTGCTTCCTCCTTCATGCTTTGGTTTGTGGAGCTCCTTAGGACTCCCGAGAAGTGTGTAGGGACAATGTACAGTGCCAGTAAAATGTTGATTGATTATTTAACTTATGGTACAACACAAACCCATGTCTGCACTCTGATTTGGTGTTCAATAACATGTAACTTGGCAAAACTGAAACGTGCCTTTTAGCGTGTCAGTAAGAGCCTAACTGCAGAGTCTCCAGAATAAGCTGCCAACACCTCCAATATACTACTACAGTTGTTAATATGACATTTCAGCATTTATTAAAAGTGAGGGTATTTTCTACTCTCCATTTTCAAATGGCTGAACTGTGTTGGTTCACTTTCTAATTTAACATCCCTCTTTTGTGATGGGGCATGGATTTTATCATCATTCCATAATCTGTGGAGCACGTGGAAGCATTAGAAGCTTTTAATAAAGGAAGGGGGTGAGTTAAAAAACAATAACAATGTTTTATCTTTGAGAATTAACTTGAAGTGGCTGTGGCATGTCTTTTTAATATTTACAGAAACAAGGGGAGGAAGAAGTGGCTTCTCACCATGAAGCAGCTTTCCCAATTGCTGTGGTAGCTTCAGGAATCTGGGAGATACACCCCAGGGTGGGAGACCTCATCTTAGCTCACCTTCATAAAAAGTGTCCCTATTCTGTGCCATTTTACCCTGCATTCAAGGAGGGGACTTCAATGGAAGATTATCAACGGTAACTTCTCCATCTAAGATGACTTAAGCAGAGCTTTGCAAGGGGGGTAACAGGTATTGGCTGAGAAACTGAAGCTAACAGGTGGGCTTTTCCACACAACCCTCAAATCCAGGAGGTTTTATATCATAGAAGGTACCAGCTTAATCTAACTGAAATTAAAAAAAAAAAAAAAAAGGAATCTCTAATCATTTTTAGAGTGGATGGAAATATTCTTCTACAGTATTGCCTTAGTCTGCTGAGCACGAACGAAAACTAAAACTTCCTGATCTTTCCAAACTGAGTGAATTGCAAAGAGTCATAATAGCATAAATGGAGAAAACTGTATGTTGAAAACCTTGCTCTTATTTGTCTTGGGATGGAGTTGGTAACACGGGCATGGAGGTTTGGGTCTAGAGGTTGTTTCCCTCTTTGTCATAGGAACATAGGACTGAAAAAGTTCTCCTGGGCCATCAAGTCCCATGTCCATGCTGTCTGTAATTTGACATTAGATTCTTTATCCTGCTACTGAAGAGGCAGCCTTTGCAAGAATTTTTTCACATTCTGGCATATCATTCGTCTTTATTCTTAACTTTGTTTTCTAATTCATAGGACACTTGGTTACCAAGTTACAGATTCTAAAGTAGAACAGCAAGATAATTTCCTTAAGCGGATGTCTGGAATGATCCGTCTTTATGCTGCTATTATTCAACTCCGGTGGCCTTATGGAAACAAACAAGGGGTATGTATGCAGGGTTTTAAAAAGAAGCACTTGGGTCCTTCAGACAAAAATAATGTGAACTAAACTTGATTTTAAAATGTATTTTAATCCAGTTGTTGGGCACCTATACACATGATAGACCTCTGTTCCACATGTGCTAATTAGCATGTCAAAGTAGACTTGATTAATCAAGTCTGCTGGAGCATGCTAATTAGTGCACTCCAGCAGTCTCCGCATCACATATATATTCAATGTCCCTGCATTTCAAAATGGCGGCAGGGGTGCTTTAACTAAAGCTCATTGAACAAGCTTTAGTTAAAGCACCCCCGCTGCCATTTTGAAGCACGGGACACTGAATACACATGACACTGCAGGCGCTTTAATTAGAGCAATTCTCAGGGCCACTCTGATTAAAGTGCCCCCCGCCTCAACACCGAAGTGTGTGAATAGACACCCATTATGAATGAAGACAAACTATGTTTAAAGGGATGCTGTCATATTAAGTCTTTTTAAAATTGACCAATGAAAAGTTTCTGATAATTATCCTTTAACATTTTTTCTGGACATACTTTTAATAAATTCCTTTAAATAATAAGTATACCATGTCTATGCTACAAGTACTTTACTGGTACAGGAATGCCACCATGTTCTCCTGGCAAAGGACCCGTAGCCTGGATGCAACTATACCACTAAGGGCATCTGTACATATGCTCTGGGGCAGGGGGTTTTATTAGAGCAGCTCTGAGAGCCACACTAAAGTGCCTGCAGCATACAGTACAGTTGCATCTTATGTGGGGGTTATGTGCTGAAGTCAGCGCATGAGGCGCAAATCGCGTATAGTTGAAATGGCCCTTCCCGCCGGGCTTTGGCACCAAGCAGCCACCGCTGCCACAGGGCCTGGACAAAGCAGGTACGGTGCCACAAAGCCGGTGCATGCAGGCAGTACCACACGGTGACACGCTACGCACTGTGCCCCAGCCAGCACCTGGTGGCCAGCTCCAGCAGCCGAGTGCGTGTAGCTGAATTTGCATAAGTTAAATACACATAAGGTTCAACTGTACTGTACTGTGTACTCAGCATCCCTGCATTTCAAAATGGCTGCAAGGGTGCTTGCATGCGATGCAGAGGCTGCTGGAAGGCATTAATTAGCATGCTCCCGCAAACTTGCCACAGACTGTACACATACTAATTAGCACGCATCGGAGCAGAGCTCCATCACGTGTATATGTGCCCTAAATCTGCTTTGCTTCATAACCATGTAGTTGACATTTACACACTCCTAGATAAAACAACCTATTGGTAAAAGGCCAGTTTTGCTGGTGCCACATTATGTAGCATATAAGCTTCTGATACAACTGTCAGCCTGGCTTCATCGTTCATTGTAACTCTGATCAGTATAAATTGTGTTGACTTAAGTCTATAATGTAGCTATAGTCCAATGATTTTCCTGCTTCCCTATAATTCTTGCTGGGCTCTTATTATAACAGAAAAAACAAATTTGCACAAAAAGCTATCCTAGAATAACTGTTTGCTGGGAAAGATGAACATTGGAAAAAATCTGACAGTTTTTGATGTGGTGGCTTTTTTTGCCAGATGTGAGTAGCTTTCTTATTCTTTCAGACACACCCTCATGGGCTGAATCATGGCTGGCGCTGGCTGGCTCAGATGCTGAACATGGAGCCTCTGGCTGATGTGACGGCTACCCTTCTCTTTGATTTCTTAGAGGTGAGTGTTGTGTTCTAGCATGAACCTAGGTAGCAAGCTAAAAATTAAAAAATGAGATTCAAGAAGGTGATGGCAGGGAGTATGATTATAGAGAATCTCCAAGACGACATACCGGAAGTCCATGGCAGTGATGAGGAAACAAGGTGCTGATGACATGGTGGGATGGGAATGTGTGTGGTGAGTTTCCTTACATTAGAGTATGTGACATTAAAATGCAGGAATATTAAAACAACAAAAACAAAAAACAACAACAACAACAAAACCCCTCTAAAATGGACAAAATGTAGGGTTGGCAGGATTTGATTTTTATTTTTTTTTTTTATTGGTAAACATCGACAAAGGTTGATTGTACATGATAATTGCAGACCAAAAGAAAAATATTTCTGTCAGTAATCATTGACATTTATAGAAAGGCGACAAAAAAAATTTGGGATGGGGAAAGAAAATGCAGGGCAAGGGACACCACATGTTCACATGGCAGCCTCTGCAGGTGGGGTGGGGAGAGCCGTGCTGTGCCACCTGTGAACTGCTCCTCTGGTAGCAGCTTGGGTAGCTGCTGCAAGAGCTGATGGTCATGCTAGTAGGGCTGTGCTGAAGGGGTGAGTTGGAGGGGCAGGGTTGTTGGCAGCCAGGAGCCCAGTGCTGCTAGCTGCTCACTAACCAGGTCCCAGCTGGGGACTTGGCACCAAACTCTCAGTGAGTCCAGCCTCACCCCTGTATGATCAGAACAGGGGGCAAACTTCTGCCAAGCCTGGCCCAGCTCCTGCGTGATCAGGTATGGTTTCTTGATTTATGGTTGTTATTTTGTATATATATTTTAACATTTTTTTATAAAACTTTTAACAGCATACTATGATTACTAAATTGTCTACCCCCCCACAGCCCTAATTTTGTGCAATCCTGAAAATTTAAATCAATAAAAATGTAAAAAAAAATGCTTAGAAATAAACATTGATTTTTAGCTATTGGAATTATTAAAAAAGAAAAACTGAATTCTGCCAAACATAACAAAATGCCTGTTACTGCAGATGCGCATTTCAATCTTGGTGTTTCAGAAAAGAGCATCACTATTTCTGGGCTCCAAAAGAATTAAGCTGCTTGCAGACGTTAAACCCCTTCTCTCCAAAAAACACACTTTATTGGAAGAAGCAGTGCGTTAGTTGGACCCAGCTCCGCAGCATCTGTATAGATTGGGTGCTTCAGCAAAGCTTTTTGGCACTTTTTATCTAATAGCTGATTGAATCAGCTATTAAATAAAAGCGCCAAAAAAAGCCCCACTAAAGCACCCAATCTATGCAGATATCAGGCAAGCCAGGTCCAACTAATGCAATGCCTGTTCTAGGCGTGTGCTGGGCTTGATGCAGGAGCACGCTGGTTTTAAAGTAGAGTGCTGTTTTGGGGAGGTGGGGGTTGGTTGGTTGGTTGCTTGCTTGCTTGCTTGCTTGTTTTTAATGTCTTTAAGCAGTCCTGCGTTCTTCCC